TGAGCCCAGTGAGAAGCTATTTGCAACACACAATGAAGTGGCCATGAAAATTCACAATTCACAACAGATGAAAACAGATGCTAATCTTCCTCTGTCAGATTAATAAAAGCACTCAAGGCTGCAAATATGCCATCTCTCAAGAGTAGGGAATACCAGATCCTTCTGCAAGGCTCCTGGGGTGAGAACGATTATAACCTTTTCTCTCAACAAAACTAACAACACCTAACAAAATTTCAGTCGGGGCAGCCTCTGACTACTAACAATTCCACTCTAGGAACTCACTCTCAGAAGCAGGTGCTGACACCTAAGATAAGCAGCCTCAGACATAGAACCTGCATCCCCAGAAATCTCCCAGCAGCAGGCGAACTAAGCAAGCCATGATCACCTGCGGTGTGGACTGTTACAGAGCCACTGAAAGAATGGATTCAAAATTGTCACCAACTATGGGCAAGGGACTATTCGCTACACACCACATTTCAGAGGGAACCACGGAGTAAAATGTGGTGGCAGAATCCCATTTCTTTTTTATATGCTTTAAAAGAATAGCAAGCATTCCACGCGTAAGAACTGTGATATGCTTGTGACTGTGAAGTTTGCAGAGGGTCGTTACGCACCACTGGTAACGTCAGTTACCTATCAGCAGAGCACTGATGGAGAAGAGGGTGCATGTTTGCACATTTTCTGGGTTTTAGTTATGGCAACAATTACATACTGCTTTAGGAATATTTTTAGAATTCCGGCAGCACTGGCTCTTAAAGACAACACAGAGATTTGGCTTCTTTGCCAGCAGCGGCTGTGCAGGTGATTTCAAATGCACTTATTCAGTGTCCTGGGCATTGACAAAATTAGAATGAATGAAGCAGCTCCACTAAAGAGTAACTGGTCAAGACCCCTCCCAGCTCTGTGCTCCTGTACACTGTCAATCACCACTCAAATGTGCCAGAGGTTCATACAGAAGGGAGGTGACCCATCTCCTAATGTGCTAGACAGTACAGCCCGGGACAGGGAACTATTTAAGGCCACTCCTCCAGGATCAAAGTTTCATGTGGCTTTTTGCTCATCACTAACCTCTGGCCACAGCTGCTAACCCTCAGCAGCTTCCAGCTCTGCCAAGCTCCCCTCCTACAGTTTAGATCCAGAATGTCCCCTAAAGGCCCATGTGGTAAAGACTTGGTTCCTCATGGCACTGTCGAAAGGAGGTGGGGCCTAATGGGAGGTCTCAAGTGACCTGGAAGGGAACCGTGGCCCTCAGCCCCTTCCTCCTCCTTCCTCATTATGCTATCTAGTTCAAAATAAGCAGGATATACACTCCTACCACAGTGTGCTGCCTTGCCACAGACCTGAAAGCAATGGGCCAGGTAGCCAGGGCCTGAAACCTCCACATGGTGATTCTGGGTGTACACACACAGACACACACATATACATACACACACAGACACACACATATACACACACACACACACATATATATATATATACACACACACAGACACACACATACACACACACACACATATATATATACACACACACACACATATATATATATACACACACTCACACATACAAACATACACACATAGACACATACATGTACATAGACATATACACATAAACACAGATACAAACTTACATATACACACAATACACTCACACAGACACACATATAAATACACATACCTACACATATGGTCACACAGATGCACATACATACACACAAAAACACACAGACACATGCACATACACCACATGTATGTGCATACCTTGTATACATACAGAAACATACATACATACATACATGCATACAAACAGGCACACAGTCACATGCACTCACACACACACATACAAACACACATACAGAACATATGCACACATGTATCCACATGAACACCCACACATATACACATCACACACATACACACACACACACACACACACACACACACATTGTGTCTTCAAATTTCTCTTGAGCCTTCACCTTTCAGGCATGGTCAGGGTGTGATCGCCTAGCCACGGTGGATTCCTTCATCACCCTCTCCCCTGCCCTCCGCCACACAAGACAGTTAAGTGTCACCTTCAGTTAGGCACTTGGTGTTTCTTAAGTGAGAGCAACTAAATCCAAAGCCACCTCTTGGCTCAGTGACCTTGAGATAGTTACTCTTTTCTTCTCTCTTCTTTTCGAACCACTAAGCACAAGTTGCCAGGACTGCTTGAGGAGCAGGCCCTGGAAAGAGCTGGCTTGACTGTGAGGCATTCCCCTGGCTAACACAAGTGAGATGCCTGAGGAAATTCAAAGGGAGGGAACTGTCCAAAGCCCTGAGGCACGGTCCACTAGGCCACCGGTGAAATGGGCGATGGCCCCTGTAAAAGGGATCCTTGGGTCTGCTACCCAGTAGGTACTCAATAAAGCAGGAACTGTCTTTCTTAGTATTTCTTCTTCCTAAATAGAAGAACTGTTGATGTAACTGTTCTTCACCAGGTCCAAACCATAGACATTCAGGAAGTCCAGAGCAGCAATAAAGCACCCAGTTTCCTTTCAGAAGGTTCATAGAGCAAAGTCCAGCTCTGACCCAGTGTGGGTTTCCAAAGAGCCAGCCATCCTGGTCACCTGTCTTAAAGGCTTTCAAGGTAGTTAGGCAAGCATATCATTACCATGAGGGACTGAACTCAGGAACCTCCACCGCTGGAAGTCTGAATCCCCTATATGCCATACAATTTGCATAGAACCCACACATGTTTTTCTGTGTGCATTTAAAACATCTCTAGGCTACCTAGAATAACTAAAGCAATATGAATACCATGCAAATGGTTGCTATACACTATTGTTTGGTTATTAATTGACCAGGAAAAATCTGTATCTGTACTGATAAGGGTTTTTCTGAATATTTTCAGTCTGTGGTTGATTGAATGGGGGCAGGCTGTATAAGAAAGGCATCTTACCTACACACAACTATATCAACATGCAAACCTTATTCTAACTGGAACTAACCATTCCTTCTGTGGGGCAGAGACAACTCTGTATTGAAAAACCTTAAAAGGCTGGAGAGGTCAGTCACTGGGAGAGCACTTACCTAGTATGTATAGAGATGTTCCATCCCCAGCATAGACAAAAATTAAAAATACTTGTAGCTGCTTAAGTACGAAGACGAAAAAGAAGCCTGTGTGAATACAGATGGAAGGACAGACGGCAGGAGTTAAAACATGGAAGCACTTTATGGTGGGCTCATTGCTCCCCAAAGCCCAGAGAAATGTGAGCACACAGCCTAACACTGGGACATGATTCAGAATTGGGGTATCTAGAACTAATCACCACGTAGAGCTGCTGAAGACAACAGCATTTGAAACACAAACTGCATTACTGTTTTACATATCCAAACTTAACTCCTGAAATAAAATGTAGGGAATGTGTATTTTTTTTTACACAAACACTTTCAACTGTCTCTAATTAATGTTTCATTTTTGAGGCTTATTGTTTCTTTTCTTTTTTTTAAAAAAAAAAAAAAAAAAGCAGTTCTCTTTGCAAACCCTAGGGAATGAAGCTGAGGCTCAGAGAAGGTGGAGGAGGCTCAGGAAACAGCCTAGCTAATTCACCAGTCTGCCACCTGTAGGCTGGTTCCAGCAGGCTGAAACTCAGTACCCACTAGACAGACATGAAAACAATGCATATTAAGTAATGCTAAAAACCGAGCAACAGATGTTTGGAGACTATAAATAGGGGTGGGTTTGGACCACAGCTCCCTGGAGGCGGCCTCCCACCTCCTCTCATTGATCGGAGCGCTGGTTGCTGTGACCACATGACCTGCCATCCTATTCTACTCTCCAAGATGCGCCCCCACCCCCTCTGAAATAAGCTCTGAAAATTAATACCCCCATTAGGATGAACAGCCACACCTGGTATCGATCCTTGCTTGCTTGCAGGGTAGTTTTGCTAGGATCTCATTTTAAACCAGACAAGGAACTTGCAAGAACAAAGACCATTACAAAACTAAATAAATTAAATAAATAAATAAATAAATAAATAAATAAATAAATAAATGCAGGACTGATTTTTTTTTTAATTACAAAAGTTAAGAACAAACAGCGATCATTAATAACAAGGCTTGTTTTGGGTGTGTGTATGCAGAATTTAAATGCAGAATGTTCACTGGAAGCCTGTAATGTGTCTGTGCACCGTCGACCAAATGCAGTTACAGATGTCAAGAGTTCTTCATAAATGCAAGTCTTTATGAATACCCATGCCGCATTTCTCTATTCCCATATGTCTATACTTTATTAATATGGAAAATAAGCAACTTTCACCGAAACGCTACAAAATACCAAAAATTTAAAAAAAAAAAAAAAAAGCATCTCGGACCAATGGCTTCTTCAATAAATGCTTCCTGGAGAAAGATTTGAGAGTCAAGAACCTGAAAAATCAGCCTGGAGTTCAAAAGGCACACTCCTGGCTCCCCGGCACCCAGCCGGTCCAGCAAGGCGGTTCCCGGCTTGAAGGAAGAAACAAGAAGTCCCCGCGCCCAGGAGGTGAGTGGCCAGAGAGGGGACAGCCACTCCAGACTGACCCGCAACCGAACGCTGCGAAGCACCCGCGCGCCACCAGCGAGGACCGCAGCGGAGGGAGCCACGCGCAGCGGGCTCTGCACCGGGCTCGGGCGCCCCCGCGCCGCCTCGGTCACGGTCGTCCGGGTCGGTCACCGGCGAGCAGGGCTCCTGGCAGCTGTCCCAGGCAGGGACTCGCAGCCGACCGCTACCCACCAAGCGGCGAGGGGAGGGCGACGCGGGACTCCTTTCTCCCAAAGAAAAGTAACTCCGGGCGCACCGCGCTGGAGAGGCAGCGCGATGCGACGCAGTCCCTGGAGTTCGCTAGCCCGGACTTGGAAACTGCACGCAGAGCCGAGGCTGCCAGAGCCGGGCGTCCGCTCCCCCACTCGGCGCGGGCTGCGTCCCCGCCACCGCAGCTCCCGGTCCCGGCCCGCGCCGCCACCGCCGCCGCAGACACTCACCGAGAAGCCGGCCCAGAAAGGGCAGGAGTGGCGCACGCGGGCCGAGGTGGTGAGCGCCAGCGCCGCGAAGCTCACGGCCACGATGAGGCATCCGAGCGCCATCTGCGTGGCCCCGAGAGCCAGTACGATGCGGGAACGACCCGGGCACTCGCGCAGGCGGGACAGGCTGCGGGGCAGCGCGTGCGGGCGCGGCGTGCGGGGGCCGCCGGCCGGAGGCATCGCGTCCCGGGAGCTCTCTCCGCGCTGCGCTCCTCACCGAGGCGCCGAGGCAAGTTGCGCCGGCTGCGGGGACCGCCTCCCCGCGGGCAGCAGAGGCTGCGGCGCGCGGCCGACGCTAGGGGCCCGGGCCAGGCGGAGAGCCGGGCGCCCGCAGCCCGCACCGGTGCCCGCGCCCATGC